CCCGCCGCCCAGGCCTACCGGCCCAACCGCTTCGTCTCGCTGCCGGCCGAGCTCGACCCCGAAACCTACGACTCGTCGCCGGAGAAGCGCCGTGCCGAAGCCGAGCGCTTGGCTATCCGCGCCCGGCTCAAGCGGCAGTACCAGCTGCAGCTCAACAACCCCAACCCGCCCGCCATCATCGTGAGTGGGCAAGGGGGCGCGGGCGGGGGTTGTGGGGGGGGTGCGGGGCCGGGAGGCCTCGCCCGGCGTCCCGGAGCGGGATCCGTCCCAGTGACCTTGTCTCTCGTCCCTATGACCTTGTCACCCGTTCCTGTGGCCTTGTGGCCCGTCCCTATGACCTTGTGGCCCGTCCCGGCCTGGGCCCGGAGGCAGCCGGGGGCTCTCTAGGCTCCAGCCCGGCGGTGGGGGGGCAAAGGGGGCTGCTCCCAGTCCGGTGGCCGCTGCAAGGTCTTTGGACCCTCACGGTGGCTTTCTTGCTTTCTTTCCAACCCAGGAAGACCCTGCCTTGCTGCGCTGGGCCTATGCTAGGACACAGAACGTCTACCCGACCTTCCGCCCGACCCCCAAGACGTCTTTTCTGGGAGCTCTTGTTGGGATAGGCCCTATCCTCTTCTGGGCTTTTATCTTCAAAGCTGACAGGGTAAGTCGGTTGACAACACTGTCAGTGACCACCACTGATCTGCTTGGAGACTTATCTAGTGGTATTTTGCACCTACAAATGATTAACATTGTTGAGGTAATGAGGGAAGGGAGGCTGATACAGGGTGTTCCTATCTCAGAGCCTCCTAACTGGTTGCAAAGTTCCTGCTGTGCTAAGAGCCCTCTATTGTACCCTTGGGTATGGTCAGTCACAGTTTCCCTCTTGAGGATATTTTGCTGTAATAAAGCACTGACACTGTAAATTAATCATAAGAGTTGTTTACATGCAGTAACTGCACTTTCTGAAATAAATAGGTAGGGAGCTTATGGATGACAGACCTAGCGAGTTCTCTCTGAATTGCTTGACCACTTCTCTAATCTCATGAAGCAAATTGGGGAGGAGTACTTATGCTGGTTACAGTGCCTGATCTCAGCTGGATTTTTAAGGTTTTGGAAGGCTTATCCTGCTTCTTTTCTAAGTCCTGAAATATGGTCCTCAGAATCTGAGTAATGGTAGATCATTCTGAAAGTACTCAGCTATATACATACATAAGAAAGTGCTAGGTGACTGGCAAACAGTGACTGTTTTTACTAGTGCATTTGTGGCTATTGTAAAACACTTTTATTTGCTTCTTTTGCACAAAAGTAGCATTTTTAGATCAAGTCATAAACCAGGAAGCACAAACCTCAGTTAAAATCAATAGAATATTTGTAGGCAATGCTGTTAACTAAGATGAATCAAAAATACAGGCTTAGGAAACTTGCTGAGCACGTTGATATAAATGTTTTTGAGACATCAGCATCTTTGCAGTATTTTGTCATCCTGGTTTGGTTTTGTACATGAAGACACACTTGGGCTTAGCCACCAAGTGTGGCTTAGCACGTGAGTGCTTGAAAATAAACCTGTGTGAGTGAAATCTAGATGTACTTGCTTGGGAACATTTAAGCTGAAATCTTTAACGTAGACTCCAGGACAATTTGTTTCCTTTATTTCAGTTCCCTTACTGATGTTTGGGGATTTGTCTTTTGTTTTTTGGTAGTATATAAAGCACAATAACTGTTACGCTCTTTTCTCTGAGGAGTGTTTGTTGTGTGTCTGTGAAAGAAAAAGATAAATTGCCGGGTCTTAAGCAAGTCTGGCGGTTTTACCCAGCAGAAGGAATGTGGGTAATATCTGCAGTGTCTGTGCACTGTAACAGTACCTGTCAGAAAGGTACACGGCTGCAGAGTGAGATACAAATGGGTTGAAAGTGACCACAGGCACATTTAGGCAAGTTATTAAAAAAGTTTCTCCATAATTAGATCTCTAAACTGGATTATTCAGCAAGAAGGAGGAGGTAGAATCTAAATGTATAAATTAACTGACGCGACTGATTTGGCAAAAAATATATCACTGGAATTGGTCTCTGCTGGCCTGCAAAAGTGGATAGATGTGCAGAGACATCAGTCTGAGCATGTCTTCCTTCCCCAGCTGGAAGGTGAGGCTCAATGCCTTGTTCTTTTTTGCTATTTAATTACAAGGGCTGTTACCAGAGTTTGTGCTTATAGAATCATTTAGGTTGGAAAAGACCCTTAAGATCATATGTGGTGCTACCTTCTATAGTCCATGCTGAAATACTAGAACTGCTTTTCTCTTGCCCCAGGCTGATTGAGATTTCTTCTCTAATAGGATAATGATGAGTGTTCTCTTTCTTCCACAGGATCGTAAAGAGAAGCTTATCCAAGAAGGTAAATACAAGCGACCGTTCAGTGTATTTTAAGTTCCTGGAATTGCAGTGCTCTTCATGGGATATAAATAAATATAAATAAAATAAGATTTATTGGATGCTGACGTTTCTCCTTCGTAAGAATAAATCTTAATTGCTCGTTGGTTGTCTTTCATCTTTAACAATTACGGAAAGTGCAAAAATGCAGGATCTTTATATCTAATGCAGATGGATACAAAGAGGGTGTCCTGAACTCAGCCAGTGTACTCCTTTGGTTTAAATGCGGAGGCTGCTTATAAAGTGTGGAAGTTACTGCTGTCAGAGCAGCACGGGCTGAAGTTTAAAATCAGTAGCAGGCTAAAATGTTCAGTGAGCCCAAAGCAGTTTCCCAAAGAACTGCTAGCTGCCTGCTAGGTATTTCTTGGCATTGGTTTGACTGTGTAGTTTGCCCTAATTGGATAATAGGCGAGTTCTGTGATACGTTTTTAATAACTTCAGGAACCTGCCTGACTTCTCTCAATAAGTTGAGTTAATTCTTCTTTTCCCTAATAAAATACAAGCCCAAACCATGCATTTGTTTATTGCAATAAACTTTTGGGTAAAGTTACCATACCAGGCTTGGAAATAGTGGGCTTAACATTGTCATGCTATACGGGACTAGCGTTTTCACCAATTCTGTGATTCTTGTGAGTGGGAGACAAGAAGGAAAAAGGTAAGGATTTTTTTAATTTGACACCAATTCCCTTACAGTATAGGACAATTCCATTTCACCCCTGCAAATGGACCCTGATTTAAAAAAAAAAACAACGACAAGTTGCAACTGAATCTTGTGTCTGCAAAGATACCCGGATCAACTGATATAGGGGGCTCTGGAATTGTGACTGCAAGGAAACAATTTTTAATTCAGACTTGAATTTTCAAGTGGCCTGTAGGTGCCATCATGATGCAAACAACCCTCATTCTTCAGATACTGTACAGGAGCAGCTTCTTCCCTCTGCCTGCTGGGAAAGCAGCCTGTGTTCTTGACGGTAAAGTCAGCTAGAGCAGCTCTGCTGAGTCCCTTTCCTGCATGATTAGGGTGTAATATGGGCTGTTTGCAGTCCCTCTTCATCAGAGCGAGTTTCACAGAAAGGCTGGGATTGGAAGGGACCTCTGGAGGTCACCTGGTGCAACCTTCTGTGCAAGTAGGGCCACCTTGAGCAGGCTGCCCAGGACCGTGTCTAGATGGCTTTTGAGTATGTCCAAGGGTAGAGACTCCACAGACTCTCTGGGTAAAAATGTGTTTACTGATTGATTAAGGTTTTCGTTGGTTTTTGTTTTGAAAGTATTTCCTGTTGTAGCTCTTCCCTTTCCTGTCTGGGTCATGAAACGTTCAGGCCGTGGGTGCTTGGCAAGTGTGCAGCAACCTTGGACTGCTTTTGCAATCCCTTATGTGCTCTCAACAACCCTCTTTGCATCTGTCTCTGCAGCTTCTTCCTCTGCTACCTTCAGGAAAGCAAGCCCAGGTTACTACTCCTGCAGAACAGCTTCTAAAAGACTGTCACAAATGATATTACAAGATACGGCTGTGGGTCAGTGGAGAGAGAGAGGCATCAATGCACGGCGAAAGTGGTATTTAGGGAAAGAAATAATTGCTTGTCTGAGCATGCTAAATTAACTATCTTCTTGCTGCCACGAACTAATTTGATCTCCCAGGACCCATTTCCTCAGCTAATTGGAACTCGAGTTGCCACACATGTAAATTCTCCCTTGCAGCTGTGTTTGTTTCAGGCTGGCTGAGCAAATGGTTGGGGACGGGTGGTGGACGTCTGCTGGGCCAGCCTTGGACTGATGCTGGAGGCACCTGCCACAGCCCTGCCCTTTGCGGACAAGAGTGTCTGACGCTGCGTCCCCGCAGGTTTCAGCACGGTGCTCGGGGAAAGGCTGCCCTACTTTTCCCTCTCTCCTTATTTGCAGAGCTCCTCCAGGCTGTTCACTCGCAAGGTGCGAACACACTGTGCTCCAGAGGTGGGGTTGGTGGTTTGAGGCCGTGGCGCTGGGTACCCAGGGGAGGGAAAGGGGAATTTCCCTTCGGAAGTGTAGGGTGATGACTGGAGAGTGAATGTGCCTCGTGGAATTTTACCCTTGACTAATGTGTTACCACCCGTGTCTGCTTCAGTCTATAGCCAGAGAAGCTCAAGCCTGCAGGTCACTGGATGATAATTTAGGTCCCAAAGAGAAAACAAGCTTGTCCCCTCTACCTATGAAACATTTAGACCTCGTTTATCTCTGGATCAGTCTGATTAAATCAGCTTCTCTGGCAAATTGATTCTCCTGAATGTCCTTTTCTGAGCTGGCTATTTTAGAGTAAACATCTCCCTGTAGATTTTATAATGTAATACTTTGCTCAAAGCTGATGCCTTTTTTTTTTTTTTTTTCCACCAAGGATCTGGTGCAGATCCAAAACCCATGATGGATGTAACTGACTGAAGTTAGGGGTTGCACCTATACATTTCCTTCTGGTTTGGAAAATTGAGGATTGCCTCTCTTGGGAAGTAAGAAGCATAAATCCAGATGGCATCAAGCTTAGTAACTGTTTCACGTGGGTACGTGTTAAAGCACAAACCTGAGGTTTGGGGTGCCTGGGCTGTGCTCCTGGTTCCCAGCCTACTTGAGGCCTACTTGAGGCTTCACTTTCTGCCTCCACCCTTACATACTCCAATGATTTTTGGAGGTCATCTGCGATGTTGGCTGCACTTGAGCTTTCTTCCAGGTACCTTCCCAGGAAAAAGTGCCTGGACTGGCCAGATGAGCCCTTTTGCACGTGCTATGCTGCAAATTAGCATTTAACTAAGGAGAGAATTTGTCAGGTGCTGACAAACAAGTCGTTGTTGAAGAATGGCTGGAGCGTGGGGTTGGAAAGGAAACTTTCCCTCACTTTGCAGTGAAGTGCTTTGGGTTCCCCAGCCTTTTCTAATTTGCAGACAACTTTTCTGACAGTAAGTCTTTCCTTGGCAGCCCTCCACAAAGCAGCAGGTTGAAACGGTTTGCTCTAAAAGGAGCCTTAGATCCGTTAGAGCCTTCAGCTCTTGTTTGGAAAGCTCTTCCCCTACAGACAGCACAAAATGCTGTATTGTTCCCTAGTTCCTCCCTGTGAAAGATGCACTGGGTCATATTTTTCAGGAGGCCCTGTGAGCACGGGTTGGCTGTTGCCTATTATCCACACCAGGTCAGGCATTCACACCAACTGCACATAGTGAGAGCCATGCAAGTGCTTCAGCTTCAGTGTGTCACCAGGAAAGCTTTAATTGGATACTTGAAAGTTAAGAATAATGGTGGCTTTTTTTTTTTTTTTAAACTGTGTTTCCCAAGTTACATAGGGATGATCATTTTCATGGCTCGGTGGCTGCTGGAAGTGCCGTTCTGTGCTGGAGCACTCTGCATTGCCCGAGGTGACTATCCCACCACCTGTAGGTATGCTGGCTTTGCCTGTCTTCACTCACATACTGCAAGCAACAAATGCTTCTCTCTACTTGCACTTAGGGTTGAAATGGCTTTTCAGAGGTTCCCAGCACTTGTAGTAGTTTTTATCTAGGCGGTTGGAGGTCTGGAGGCCCCATTTGGTGACGGCCATACTGAGGGACGATTCGAACATGAAGGCCTGTTGGGAAGAGGGAAGGTAGGTTAGGGCAAGAGAGCGAGAGTTTGTGTCCAGGCAAGGTGGCTCTACCACAAAGAGGAGTTGCACACATGGTCCAGCCCTGCCAGGGTCTACCTCCAGCCCCATCAATCCAGGGGGAGAAAGCTCTTCAGAGCTGACATTGCAATGCTGGCATTAACCAGGTCTCAGAAGTGACTGGATTCCCTGCGTACCCAGGAAGGCCAGGTTGTTGCAAAAGCTCTAGTTCCAGGTCTGTTGACAATCGTCATTAGATTTTAGGGGGTGGAGAAAGGAGGACAGTCAGGGGTTTCATTTCTTTGTCCATAGGCTAAGACAAAAATTAAATTAATCAGCATGAAAATTCCCAGCTTCCTGCTCAGGCAACAATTTACGTGGGCAGATGATCAAAGCTGCCTGGCATCACACGTCTCCAGGGGAGCTCCTGGGAGTTGAGTGGTGTTGAGTGGTAAGGGAGGCGAATGCTGCAGCTGTTTGGTCCATGTACTTTTCCAACTTCCCAGCAAGAAGCAAGGCTGTACTTGGAGAGTGGCAGAGCCGCAGTACGCCATGCTGTGCTAGAAATCTTACCAGCTCCCTTGGCTCCTTACCATGGTCCCTTCTGCAACCCTCTCAGGCTCCAGCTTGGCTTTGCTCGCCTTCTCAAAGCAGTCAGCATCCGGCCCGTGAGGAGTCATCATGCTGTGCAAGCTGGCCCCTCCGGGCTGGAAGCCTTCCTCCTTTGCTTCGTAGTGGCCTTTGATGAGCCCCATGAACTCACTCATGCAGTTTCCTGCAGGAGGCATAGAGAAGAGGTAGCAATGCAGGGTGACTAGGAGGCATCACAGCTGGGCTGCGAGCTCCTTGAAGCCCATAGACTCAGAATCATCTAGGTTGGAAGGGACCTCCAAGATTATCTAGTCCAACCATCAACCATGAGCTAAGCTGGGCTGGGCAGTGGATGAAGTGGAGGTTCCTAAGCAGGGTATCACAAGAGAGGACATCAGGGACCCTGCAGGTGATGCTTGTAAAGCTGTACGGGTTTTATTCCGCTCTTAATTATCTGGATTCAGAAACTGACAGCTCCCTAATGAAGGTGCATTGATGTTGGCAGATCTGTGCTTTTCCTGCCATCTCGAGCTGTGCAATCGCTGCACCTGCGTGGTGTGACCTGGTATTTACGGACTTGGATTACAGATCTTAAAGTGCTGGAAAGAAAGTTCAGTGTAATCATCCCTGTGTTACAGGCACTGAGGCATAAAAAGCCTGGCCAGCAGTCTGGTGAGAAAGCCTGCTCTGCTGTCCCAGGGTATGAGCTTGAAATCATTTTGTTCTATATTCTTCTGCAACCTCCTTCAGTACCTTATGCTTTTGATTCGTACGTGATATACTCATTTCTTGAGACCCACTGTGTGCCAAAGACGAGGAGCCATCTTTCCCCAAGGAAGAATACTTTTAAGTAGACCCTCTGAAACCAATGGA